TAGTACATTAGTAAGTGAAAAGAAAATTACTATTAAGGGATCATCTACTCATGATGAAGAATCCAATAAAAGTAGTGAATCTACAGTAGATACTGAAAAAGCATTTTCTTTCCTAGACTTAATTATTAAAGAAGCTGTAATTGCAATTAATAATGAAAATAATAGTGAATCAGAGTTTATCATTGAGAATTCAAATTCTGAAAGTGAGAACACTGAAGAATACACTAAATCTGTAAAATCTACTGTATCTGAAAATTTAACTGTTCAATAAAAACATTTTACTAATTCACTGTAACTTTTTAAAGAAAAATTGATTTAAAATTACATTATTCATTATCATAGAAAATTAAACATTTAATTTTATCAGATTATTTTTTAAGTTGAATTATTAAAATTTATAATTAATCAATCTTAATTAACCATTTTAACTAAAAATTTGATTTAAAAATGACATTGATTATGATAGATTTTTAAATTAAAATTAATGATTTAAGCGTATTTTATGATTTAATAAGGTTAGTTTAGGATCATAATTTTTCAATTAACCAAACTTTTTAAATAGAATTTCAATAAAATTAAAGACATTTCATCAGTTTTTTATGTAATTTATCTTTAGAATCTTTTTATATCTATAAAAAATATTTTTTTAAAAAAATATTTAATAAAAATATTTTAATACCCCTTAATGATAGTAGGTACCAGTATATTTGCAATGTTATTAAGTATTTTTAACTTTACAATGATAAGTTGTTCTCAAGAACAAGAAGGAGATGCTGTGAAGTCAAGTCAAGTTAATACAGATACAACTGTTCAGGGTGGTGGAGATGCTTCTGTGGAAGTTGATAATGATGATGTGGAGAAAGGAGTTACTCCTGAGCAAGGGAAAACTAAAGATGAAAATTTAAAAGTAAACCCTCCTGTGTGAACAGATAAGAAGAGTATTGAAAATTAATAAATTTATTATTACTAATGATATTTTATCTTGTTGTTTTAAAATTCTTAAGGCAAGAAATTAAAATTGTTTTAGTGCCATTTTCATGTTTGATCAGTTAATTTTAATATTTTAATAAATTTGTTGATTGAAATGACTAAAATTAAAAACATTGTAATTTATAAACAAATCTAATTTATTAACCTTATGAAATTGTATCTGAATATATTAAATATTGTTAGTGTCCAGGAAAAAGTTTCAAATACAAAACTTGAAGGTTTTAAAGAAGTATCTAAGACTAAAATAGATGAAATGAGCATGAAAGTTAAAGGTTTAAAACATAAAATAAAATGCAAACTATCATGTGGTGATTTTAATCAAACAGATTCAGATTCAGAACAACCTGATGGTAGAATTGTTCAAAAAAGAAGTGGTATTAATCAATAAACTCTGTTAAATAATCATATAAATTTATCTAATACAGCTTGTGGATTTTATAATCTCATTTATTTTCTTATAAAACTTTCGTAATTTTATTTCATCAATGTCATTAAAAATTTTTACTGAAGAATTATTTGAATAAATTAATTATTGAGGGAATATCAAACAAGATTATTCAAATAACTTTATATAATCAATAAATAATTTTATTTAATAAGTTTTACTTTCTTAGAAAGTTTATATAGAAAAATATTATTTATAAAGCAGTTTTAAATAAAACAATATTTAATACCGTAAAATATTAAATTTATAAAGAATTATTTCTAATAAGTCAAAATCAACTGTCATAAATCAATTAGATTAAAAAATATCTAAAAAATATATTTAAATAAAATATTTTTTTAATAAATAAAAATGAACTTAAACATTTTAATTAATCTAATAGCTAAATTATCTACTACCCAAGATATTGATGTTGAAGGTTTAGGAAGTTTTAATAAACCAAATACAGAGACGGATGAAATTAAAGGAAAATCTATTTTTCTTAGAATATTTTATTGGTTTAGTGGCTTTTTTTCTTATAAAAACTTAAACCAATCAAATAAGAGTGAAACCAATGAAGCATTTAATTTAAATAAAGAAACTACCATTTCATTTGATGATAAGAACAAACAAACTGATTGTGAAAGTAATGAAGAATCATCTAATTTTTCTTCTACAACACCAATTTATCCAGTTAATAATTAAAATCGATTTTTAATTTTTAAATGTATTATTATTAAAGAAACCAATTTATTTAAGTAATTAAAAACAAGTATAAATAGTTTTATCATGTAAAGAATAATGATTTTAAGTTTATACAAGTGAATAATTTATTAAATACATAATAATTT